AAAAAAAAGCTCTCCTCATTTCGCGAGCCACACTCGAGCAAATTTACCTTTTTGCTCAGAGAGGGGCGCGCTCGCGAACCACACCCGCGATGGGCTGGCTCAAGGGGTTTGGCTAAGTTATGGCTCTTTACAGTTACTCGGGGACTTTTTCTGATATGGATCGCTCAATAAGTTCGTTGAATGCGAGGGAAGGAAAGAATGGCTACTAGACACAGCCACGCCTTGTGCATCGATTTCGGGCATTCAGCTGTTCGTGTATTTGGTGGCTCGTGTGGCGACGTACCTTGAGTCACCTCCATGGCGCATGCCTTCATTCAAGACTCATGATTCGCAGTCATTTTTTTGCTTGCACGACTACTTTTGGAAACTTCAAAACTCATGCAGGATGGATCATGGACGGTCCAATTCTTGTGTGACTTAGCTGGCTATGCACATCAGCCATGTTTTTTGGTCTCCATCAGCGTGAAGCCATCCCATTTATGCTTCCAACGAGCGAAGTACCAAGCCCAGTCATGCGAGATCGACCAACACCCAGAGAGCCCGGCCGCGCGCGGAGAGCTCCAGCTTCAAGGCCGATTGAACCTATAGTCAGCTTCGGGTCCAGATCTTGCGAAGCGAGGTGAATGCCGATCCAAACGTGATGTGACGCACCTCTGCTGTCCGGAGCACATCGACTGGTGCTACAAGAGTGTCTTGCGCCTTCATGACGAAGGAACCGAGGGACACGTCTTTTGCTTGAAGGCAGCATGGCAATGTGTTACGCCTCAAGGAGACATTAGTATCCGAGCCGGTACTGCCTCCAGAATCAATGATGCGAAGGCGTCAAGAGGGGGCGTGCTGGCACGATATCCGAGACAAAGACCACTTACACAAGTAGACCAAAGTGAGCACTGGTGTCGGGAAAGAAAGTAGAGTCGACCTGACCATGACAGTTGCGTCAACGGATTCGAGCAGTCGTCGTTCAGCATTCGGCATCAGATACTGAAAAGGATTGGAAAGAGCGGGTGTAAGGACACGGGACAATTTGCTTACCTTCAGACGACCCTTTTCGAGCAGCAGGAAAAGGCAGCCGGCGGGTCTTAGCAAGCGCTCGCGTTGAGCGCCGACGAGCTGCAATGACTCCCGGATGTGGACTATGTGCGGCATCAGATCCATGGGTAGAGAGGACACGGGAAGCAAGTCTGTAGCGATCTCGTGGCAAGCGCCGCGCTTTGTCGACCCGAAGCAGAGTGCAAAGGCTCGGAGATGGACTATGCTCAACGTGCGCACGTCGTCGCGACAGTCAGTGTTTGCGTATAACTCATACTCAAGGGATGGTCGAACCCACCCTTGGCCTCGACGTTGCGGCTCATGCGCTTGAATCTGCACGAATGGACCAAGCATACAACATGATCAGTACGGAGGTTGAGCAGGCATGCGCAGAGCCTCAAGGAGGCCGCAGCTGGCGAATTATCCGGGTGAGTGTAACTTACAGCGTCAAAGAATGGGAGAGTGTTTCGAGACCGCCTTGGCCTGGCCGGCCGGGGTTGACAATGTGATGCAAAACGGCGTCCGAACGCTCCCTGGCTTTGTCATGTGGAAGGGAGTTTGGTGCCTCTGACGGTGTCGCAAGATGATACGAACAGATCTGTCATGTGCAGAAGACAGTGCGCAGATGATCAGCAGTACTCCGAAAGATGAGTTAGCGGCGCAAAGAGGGTTGTTCTTACCCTTGCTCCGGTATCGAAAGACGATGTCAGACGTAGGGGCAGGTCGTCATTTGTCAGAAGCATGTTCGCGTGACCAAGATCGCTGCGTGACCCGCTGAAGCACAGCTCCATCTTGCGTGGACGAGAGACGGACACCTCTTCACAAGACGGACTGAACGTGTATGCCGTTGAGCATTGGAGGCAAGACGCACTTGTGCAGCGCTCCTTACGATTCGCCATGCCGCAGCTCCGACACCGAAACGCGCCGAAAGTATGCTCCGAGGACTCGAGGTGGATATTGGCGCTGCCATTGAAGGCTGGCTCAAGCTTTGATGCGAGGTCATCGAGTTCGACCGGCTCTTGGAAGCGGTGAAGGTCGAGACGGATGCTTGCTTCGGAGTCCCTCTGTCCGTGGCAAGTTGGATGACATTTAGAAAGCGACTTTAAACGAAATCAAGGGGAAGAGGTGCAGGAATATACGGCTATCGACTCACCTGGATCGCGGCAATGCTCCAGTATCCCGTGAAGACGACATCTGCATTTACGATCGAGCCATCCGAGAGACGACAAGGAATTTCGAGATCGTCCCGACGATAGTAGACCCTGAGAGGATAGACGGATGTGCACGCAAATTGCAGCCTTTCGACAATGTGGTCCTCTGCGTGGACAAAGACGCTACAAAGTCAGCCATTGCCGACCACACTGAAGGCGGAAAACTCGAGGTGTAGCGAATGACACGGACCCACGGATCTGTTCCGGGCAGACTGTCAGCAGCGTGATCCTGACACCCTTTGGACGGTCCAAGTCTGCGCTCGCTACTCACAAGTTGGTGTGCATGCGATCCATATCGAGAGGCACGAGCAGCCTATTCCATGCGAGAGCCAAGGATTGGATGGCACCCGATTTTGTGACAGAAAAGTCGACTCCTCTGCCGGGATAAAGCGGATCATAGGCTTGCATGTCCTCGGATGACGAGGCCCAACACAAGCACTTGAAGCGATGCAAAGCGGCAGGGTTATCCGTGACCTTGGAGTGTTTCGCAGACTCTACATCGGCGGTTGGTTCAGCGGGATGGACTGTTGGCTCTGTCTTTGGCTCTTTGGTCAGCAGATCGCCGGTCACAATGTCGAAGAAGCTCCAGCGATTGCCCCGGCGGCATTGCAAACCTAGGGAGCGACACGAAGTACAGAAAGGTCTTGCTCTGTCGCAGGAGCTACCGACGCGGTTGCATCTCTCGCAAGGCGGGGAGACTAGGTGCTTAAAAAGCTTTAGCTGAAGTTGGCTGGGATGTGATGGATGGATCGGTCGCTTACCCAGGAGAAGGTCGGATCGGTATGGATGTAGATGAATGTCTGCTCGAGATGTAGAGGAAGGGACGCGAACGGCCAAATCGGAGGACGCCTGTCGAGTCGCCACGTCGAGGAAGGGCTCGTAACGTGGGGCGGGAGTGACCGGCGTCTTTGTGCGGGCTGCGCTTGGATGGTTGCCGTTGCGCTGGTTGCCAAGCCCATGATGATGCCGACGTCCGTTGACTATGAATGTGGGATGTGCTAGTTTGCGTTCACGGTCGGTATCTTGGGTCGAGCGCCCGTCCCAAAGGCGCGCGGACGACGTCCTGTGCCTCATGGCGGTGATGAGCTTTTACTGGCCATGCAGAGTGTGCGTCGCAGGCACCATGGTCGAGCAGCACGTCTTTGGGCGCAAGTGGTGTGATTGATCCAAGAAGCCTGTCCGCTTCTGAATTGTGATTTCATGCAGAAAATCCAGGGTCTGGGCGCCGTTCCTACTTTGGCAGCATCCGCGGGTCGGTATCGCCGTGAGCCGCGGCAAGGGTTGAGGAGACCCTCCGTGACAGCCGTCAGGTCTAAAATCCGTCCGTCGGTCCAACTGGTGGAGCGTCGGTCGTCTGATTAGATTGCGTGGAGCTTCTCGAATCCGATAAAAGCCAGGGCTGTCTGCGCCGAGCTCGCCCCCCCGCTGCACCCAACTCCCAATCCACCACAGCATTGATGGCAGCACCAGCAGCTCGATTGGCACTCATCATTCTCTTCTCGCTGCTCGTCGCCCTGGTCTCTCACCGATTCGTCAGACGCCCCTCGTCCTTCCTCAATTTCAATCCCATCTCAACAATGGTCACCGCCACAAAGGCACCAGTCTTCTTCATCAGCCATGGAGGACCGCCCAGTAGGTGCACTTGCATCGCTATTTAAGCGGCATTGTGAGAATGTATCCTGACGCCCTTCTTTGGCCTGTGGCGCAAAAGCCATGTTTCAACCTGAGCACCCTGCCTATCAGCATTGGCGTGAATGGGGGAAACAAGTGCGGGAACTTCATCAGCAAGGCGTCATTCAAGGGCTTGTCTTCATCAGTGCCCATTGGCAAGCCGAAAACCTCGACCAAGGTGTATACGGTAGGTCCTCAGCTACAGCACAGTCCATTCCAGGTGCGCGCCCGCATCTCGTCCCTGACATCCTTCTTGATCTACTCATGTGCCTTCGACAGTGAACGTCGACGAGCGTAACCCTCTCGTCTACGACTTCTACGGCTTCCCGGATCATTTCGTACGTCCCTCCTTGCACACGTGCATCCAACGTTGCCCCCTCCTCTTTGCCATGGCCCTCTGACCAAACATGCGACTGCACTCATTACAGTACAAGCAAAAGGTGGAATCTTCCAACCCCTCCAACGTCTCCGCACTCGTGCTCGAGCATCTGCGTCAATGTGGCGTTCAGGCATTTCCTGTGAAGCGCGGAATCGACCACGGCGTATGGTGTCCTCTCAAAGTTGCATTTCAGAAACCATTCCTCGAGGACCTGCCGTCGGGCAACGCCGAATCGCAATCAGCGTCGATCAACGATCCCTCGCAGCTGCCCCCCACCCTGTCTCTGACTCAGCTCTCTTTGCCTGCGTCAGATTCTTCTCTGGACTCCTTGAAGCTCGGTGCTGCCCTCCGCAGGCTTCGCGATCAGGGATTCGCCATCGTAGGCGGCGGTATGTCGGTGCACAACCTGCGCGAGGCCATGAAGGCTTTTGCACTGGTCGGAAGGGGCTTCGGCGCCCTGCAGCCCACTTCCTACTCTTCCAGTTTCCTGAGCGCGCTCACGGAGGCTATGACGGCTCCACGTGTATCACGAGACGAGGAGAAGTGGGCCAAGGCCATCAATCTCGACAAGAGACATGATTTCCTGCCATCGCATCCCACTCCGGAACACTTTCTGCGTACGTTCGGCCCGACGACTGATTTCTCATTGCTCTGTGTCACTGGCTAACAAAGTGAGGGCCCGCCCCTTTCTCTTCTTGGAACCAGCCGCGCTCGTGGCACTGGGAGCTGCACACTCCGACGAGCAAGGCGTCGAAACCTTTGCACTCGACGAAGGCCCCATGGGTTGGTGAGTCTGCTTCAGCTTCCGTGTTTCTCTCGATCGGATCGTCCTGGCTCACACTTCGGATGCCTCGACCTGCACTCTCTACGATTACAGGAACATGTACAGGTGGGGATGAGCACAGACCAACGTGAAGACATCTATCGAGCTGGTTCGTCCTGGAGCGCAAGCTTTGCGCGCCTGCGATCTTCATCGTCCTTCATGTCGCGCGCTGCTTGATCATGCAGGCCCGCGGCTGCGCTCTTTGCCTTTTCTGCACTCCCTTCTTTTCCGACCCTGTTGGCACCAAATTGAACGATCTTCTTCCATCGCGCGCGGATGTCTGACGCCATCTCCACAAGCGCAAGCCCTCGGTAAAAGTAGACGAATGACCACCATGCGCGGAAGTAGTCCTTCCAGAGCGAAAGCGATGTGAGCAGGCTCGCGCGGCCACTCGCCCTACGCTCTTTAAGCTGCTTCAGATCGTCACGGTAGACCGCCAGAGCGCAGAGGCGAGCGGCGATGAGGAAAGGTCGCGTCGGGCCATGTGTAGTGTGGAGACTTGCGTCGAGTGAGCGGGTGAGGTCGTTGAGCTTGAGCACCATCAGCATGCGGCGCGGAAGACGACGGAGCAGGTCGAGGATCGAGAGAAAGAGGCCTTCCTTCTCCATGACCGTCTTGCGAATGTGCTCTTGTTCGTCGTCGGAAAGATTGCTACCGCCATCCATGTCCAGGAGACTTCCTGCGCGGTTGCGATCCTTGACGCCGAGTGGGTTTTTTGGGTCGCTACCTTCGAGGCCGGCTCGGCCGGTAATGGCGCTTTCCAAGATCGGGTAGAGGTCGTCATCAATGTTGGCGATGAGCTTGGCATACTTGCGTCGCTCTGCCGTCACTTCGGGGCTCGCACGCTTGAGCAGCGAAAGCCAGAAGCGAGCGTAGTTGGCGCGAAGCTTCGGGTCGATGTCAAAGTAGAGACCGTGATCGAGAAGGACGACTTCAAAGTTGTAGCGCGATCGACTGCCGGGCGGTGCGGGACGGATGAGAACATTGCCACCGTGAGGGTCGGCGTGGAAAAAGCCGTGCAAGTAGAGCATCTGGGAGAAGACGCGCGAGAGTTCCTGGCTGACCCTGTTACGGTCGATGTCGTGCTCGGCAAGGTAGCGCAGGTTGTCGGGTCTGCGGCCATCGATAAATTCCATGGCCATGACACGCTTGAAGACATACTTGACCTTGGGGATGTAGACGGACGTGGTTCGATAGGCGGCAAAGTCATCCTCTGCCCTCTTAGCATTCTGTGCTTCGTGGCGGAAGTCCATTTCGAGTGGCATGTTCTCGTTCATCTCGTCTGCGAGCCACTCGAAGCTGAAGTCAGGAAGAAGACGCTTGACCCACTTGACGAGCACTGTGACCGTCTTCATGTCGACTTCGGAGAAGCGCTCGACGTCCGGATGCATCATCTTGAGCGCGAGCTGCTGGCCCGTCTGTCGATCCACCGCACGATGCACCTGTGCGAGCGAAGCAACACCGATGGGCTTGGGNCCGGATGCATCATCTTGAGCGCGAGCTGCTGGCCCGTCTGTCGATCCACCGCACGATGCACCTGTGCGAGCGAAGCAACACCGATGGGCTTGGGGTCGATCTCGCTGAAGGCCTCGTTGAAGCTCATGCCTGTTTCGGTCCTGAACATGGCTTCAAGCTCGGGCAAGGGAGTCGGTGTGTTCTGGTCCTGCAGAGGTCGCAGAGTGGTCGTCCATTCGGGTGGCAGCAGGACAATGGCGGAAAGGTGCTGGCCAAGCTTGACGTAGAGGCCGCCGTTGGTCTGCAAGGCAGCAAGGATGCGATGAGCCGAGCGCAGATGGCACTGGCGCAGCTCTTCGGTCTCTTCTTCGCGCGAGGAGTAGGTCTTGTTGAGGGTGGAACGGTAGTCCCAAACGCAGAGGGCGACGGCCTTGGCGATGGTGGTGGAACGGGTGAGTGCGAGGAGGGCGAAGTTGGTGCTGTTGGCCTGAGACTTTTGAGCCTCGCGAACCTGACGCTCCATCTCATCGTGAGGCAGCTGCAGTCCCCGGATGGGCGGCTGCGAGCCATCGAGATGGATAGTGTCCTGCAGCTGATACCCGACAGCTCCGACGAGGATCAGCGCCAGTAGCGCCACTCCGACGCGGCGGCTATTGCGACGGAATTGGGCATGGGCTGCGGCGGTCTCCTTTGGATTCGGGATGGCGGGCTGATCAAAGTTGATGGGCTTGGGCTGCGGGCGAACAGGCGGATACTGCTTTCGAAAGGGTCTGTTGTCGGCGGACTTGCCTGGATCAGAAGCGTCCGGTGGCGAGGAGGACGCGCCAGGTGACGTCGGCCTTCTCGAATCCGCAAGCGGGCCGAGGGTGGAGAAAGGCTTGATGTTTTGCCAGTGGCTGCTCTGACCGCTCCGAGAGGCCACTGTTTTGGTGCACAGATGCAGCGACCGCGATGAAAACCAACAGTTTGCGCTCGACTGCGGACGCCTTAGTGCTGCGGATGCAACGGAGCGAGCCGTCGTCGCGTGCAGTCCGAGCATGGCGGCCAAGATGGGTCGCACAGCGTTCACAGGGCGAGCTGGCTGTTGTTGCGACGCGGAATCCTTCTAGAAAGTCACCAAGGCGAGCCGGTGCTGCCTGAACTTGTCCCTGCGTTGTGGCTGTGAGCGCCGTAGAATACGCGTGTACCTAGAGCGATGCCGTGTGGATGGAGTATGCGTGGGTGACGGTGTCAGAAGCGCTTCGGTGATCAGGTCCGACTGTGTCGGCAGCGCCTGCTGAATGCTCCGCTTTCCGAAATCTTGGCGAGCCGGCGTTGCGGTCATCGCCATCGCACCGAAAAGTGGAGCGTCGAAGCTAAGCCGGTTTAGGTCGGAGTCGCCTCGCGTTCCCAAAATTACGTTTGCCAATGGCAGATCGAAGGAGTCGCACAGACTTGGACTCGAAAATTCTTATTCCGAGATTCGGACGAACAAATCCGACTATGACGCTTGCCCAGAAGCGGCAAAAGTAGCAGGCCGACGCAGCGGCAAATGCAAAACCGGCCTTACATGACACCCAATAGCCGACAATCGAAGAGGATGCGTTTCGAAGGAGGAGGCATCGAACGGATCCGCCGGCTGCACAGCGTGGTCGGCAGGCACTACGTCAAGTCCGCGGCGATGGCGTCCCCTTCCGTCACTTGCAGCCGACGTCGGCACCGTTGTTGGCGAGCCGTTGCTGCACTCGCCTCGTGACTCCCTTGCACCACCGAGTCACTTGAACTTCCTGCAGACTGACTTCCACCATCGATGGATCGAGGTTGATATACGCCAAGCGCACTTCCTCTCCCGTCTGCACCGACAATTGAACGGAGGTGACATGGGCTCACAAGATCCCTCATAACACGACAGGAAGCTAGCATTCCTGATTGCCTCACGTCGCCACAATTACTTATCGACGTTGTGACTGGGCTCGGATTGGCTATGAAGGACAAGTCCACATCTGTGCGCCCGGCTGGCTCGCCAATAGATGACGAAACACCCGAGGAGACACCGGCAGGTGAGTACCGTGCTGTTCCTGCAAACTGTGCTGGCGGCCGTTGACATTGAGAGCTGCGATCCTTCTCCCTTGGAACGTGCAGAAACATCGCGCCACTCTCTCAGCGTGTCGCTGCACTCTGGTCACAGTGATGCCGGTGCTCGAGGTCTCGAAGCGCAAGAAAAGGCGGTGGAAAAGCCAGCGGCGACCCCGGCAGAAGCCGAGGATGCGGACCCAAACCTCGTCACTTGGGACAGCCCCGATTCTCAGGAGAATCCGCGCAACTGGTCCAAACGCCACCGCTGGGCGGTCACGACACTGGTTTCCAGCTACACGTTTCTCAGTCCGTTGGCGTCGTCGATGATCGCGCCGGCGCTGCCGCTACTGAGCGAGGAGTTCAACGTGCATTCGAGCGTACGGGAGAGCATGATGCTCTCGACGTTCGTCTTGGCTTACAGCTGTGGTCCATTGCTACTGGCGCCCTTGACCGAGATGTTTGGACGAAGGGTGGTGCTGCAAACCACGAACCTCATGTTCATCGCCTTTAATCTGGGTTGCGGCGCCAGTCAAAATGCGGCGCAGCTTACGGTGTTGCGCTTCTTCGCGGGTCTTGGTGGCTCGGCACCCCTGGCTGTGGGAGGCGGCACGATTGCTGATCTGTTCGAGCCAGGAGAGCGCGGCAGCGCCATGGGGATGTACAGTCTTGCGCCGCTGCTTGGACCGGCGATTGGGCCGATTGTAGGTGGGTGGATCGTGCAGGAACTCGGTCAGTGGCGATGGATCTTCTGGGTCTCGTCGATCTACGGCGGTCTCACGGCTTTTATCGGGCTATTCCTGCTGCCGGAGACGTACGCCCCCGAGATTCTCAAGCGCAAAGCGCGCAAGCTGAGGAAGGAGACGGGCAACCAGCAACTGCACACCATCTACGAGAAGCAAGATTCGTCCAAGTGGTATTTGCGGTTGCGCCACAACTTGGTGCGCCCGTTTGTGCTGCTCACGACGCAGCCTATCATCCAGGTGTTTGCAGTGTACATGGCGATTCTGTACGGATGCATGTACATCCTGCTCACCGTGTTCCCTCAGGTGTTCGGCACGATCTACAACGAAGAGCCGGGCATCGCATCTCTCAACTACATCTCCCTGGCGATCGGATTCACGATTGGCGGACAGGTGGGCGGAAGGGTGGTCGACTATTCGTACCGCACACTCAGCGCACGAGAGGCCGACGGCAAAGGACGACCCGAGTTTAAGCTTCCGCTGCTAATGGCGACTTCGTGGCTGTTCCCTGCCGGACTGCTGATCTATGGTTGGACTGCCGAGTATGCTGTGCACTGGATCGCGCCCAACATTGGCGCAGCATTGTTCGCCGCGGGAGCGATGGGCACGTTTCTGGTGTGCCAGGGGTATCTGGTAGACGTGCTGCCGCTGTATGCTGCGTCGGTGCTGGCGGCAGCGGTGCTGGTGCGCAGCTTGGGCGGCTTCGGATTTCCGCTCTTTGCGCCGACCATGTACGAGCGGCTGGGCCAGGGCTGGGGGAATACGGTGCTGGCGCTGGTGTCGGCGGTGATTGGCATACCGGCGCCCTGGGTGTTGTTCCGCTATGGACCCTACCTTCGCGCCAAGAGTCGGTACGCGGCGGAAAATCCTGCGGCGGCTCGGATGAAGTAGAGCGTGGTTATCTCTCACCACCAACATTCTTGCTTAGAAACACATGCACATGCAAAGAAGAGGAAGTTCAGATTGCCCTGGTCTCGATGGTGTGCCGATTGATCTCCCGATTTGGGCTGGCAACTCGATCGAAGGCGAGGAAGCCGGGGCAGAGGATGGGTCCTTGTCCAAGGAAGGCGCGAAGCGAGCCGCGCGCTGGAGCCAAGCGGCTGCGAGCCGAGCCGAGCTGAGCTGGCACCGCACGGCCAACAAAAGCTCGTCTGAACGCCGAAGCTTCCCCCCTTCGTCACACCGGTTTGCGCTGATGCAAATCCGGTCGACGAAAATTCCGCTTCGTCCGTCGAGCTGGCAGACGCAGCCTCGGCTTTGCCGCCGCCGTCGTTCTCGCCTTGGCCCTGTCAAACGAAGGGTTTGGATGCGGTTGGCCAGGCTCTCTGACTGCCCTGCGCTGGACCAGCAGCAAGATTGAGCCTGTGCATTGCCCTACCTCTCGGAGCTTGTTCTCCGTCCTTGTGTTGTGTTGGTGGCTCTGCACGGGACAGCGAGGCCCACGCTAAGCTGCACGTCGCCGCGCGGGTTGAAGAAGACAGCTGCATCGATGGCTCGTGAAAGCTGTGCGGTGAGCGGAGCCTGACCTGCGGCACGCAGGCGAGGGTTGGAGCAAGCCTAAGCTTGCCAGGGCGAGCTGCGCAAAGGCCATGTTGTTGCAAAGCGAGGGAAGGGCAAAAGGCACGGACGGGTCTGGCTCAAGCGAAGACTCGGATGCAGTGCGGGGTGCATTCATCTGGCACCTCTGCAGGCACCTCTGCAGGCATCTCTGCAGCCAGAAGAGGGCGGGGTAGCGAGACAACAATAAGGACCCGCCCTCCAGCCCTGCATTTTCAATTTCTAATCCAGGGGAGACAGACAGCCATTTCGCCTGCGTTGCGTTGGTCTGTGCTTTTGGAGCCAATGTGACAGGGCAGGGTCCTTGTGGGGAAACCCCGTGCAGGGAGATCCGAATTCCACACGGCCTCTCTCGCTCTCCAATCGGCTCAGTCTGGTTCGGCGTCGAGCTCTCTCTGTCTCTGTCTCCCTCCCTCTCTGCCGCCTCGGTTTGGCGCGCGCGCGCAAGACGGTCTGCCTTGGCCTGGGTCTTTGCCCTCAGCGCCACGCATGCATGCATCCAACCCACCCTCTCAAGCCCGTCTCGAGTCGGCAGGCCCAGCTAGCCGCCACCCGGTGAGCCTCGTTGCCAGTGTCGCGCTCGTGAGCCACTCGCACCCGTCCCCTTTAAAAAGATTCCTCCCCTCCTCCTTCACTCCGTCTTCCCGGCACGCTTTGTGAACACCATCATCTCCCCCCGTCTCATCTTGTTCTAACTTACCGCTTGCAGGTCTTTCCCCCCTCACTCTTCCAAGACCTCAATACCGCACTCACACTCTCCCCAACACACACTTCCCACAATGTCCCGCGTCGTCGTCGTCGGCGGTGGTCTCTCCGGCCTCAGTGCCGCTCACACTCTCTACGAGCGCGGCGCCAACGTGCTCGTCCTCGACAAGAACGTAAGTGCTCTACACTTTCCGAATCCGCGTACATCCCACGACTATCGGTGACTGACTTGATTACTTGCGTTTCGCCCCGTGTGACAGCCCTTCTTCGGCGGTAACTCGACCAAGGCAACTTCCGGTATCAACGGCGCCGGCACTACCACCCAGGCCGAGCAGGGCATCCCAGATTCCGCCAAGACCTTCTTCGAGGACACCAAGAAGTCGGCTCGTGACCTTGCCCGCGACGACCTCATCAAGGTGCTCACCGGCAAGTCCGGCGAGGCCGTCAACTGGCTCATGGACCGCTTCGATCTCGACCTCAGCAAGGTCTCGCGTCTCGGCGGTCACTCGCAGCCCCGTACCCACCGTGGCGGTGCCCAGTTCCCTGGTATGACCATCACCTACGCTCAGATGGAGAAGCTCGAGGACCTCGCAGAGGCAGAGCCCGACCGCATCCAGATCCTCCGCAAGGCACGCGTCACCAAGCTCATCCACCAGAACGGCGAAGTCACCGGTGTCGAGTACGAGTACCAGGGACAGACCCACAAGGAGGAAGGTCCCGTCGTCCTCGCCACCGGCGGCTACGCCGCCGACTTTGACGACGTCAACTCGCTCCTCAAGAAGTACCGCCCCGACCTCGTCCACCTCCCCACCACCAACGGCGACCACTGCACCGGTGACGGTCAGAAGATGGTTGCCTCCATCGGCGGTCGTCTCATCGACCTCGAGAAGGTTCAGGTCCACCCCACCGGTCTCGTCGACCCCAAGGAACCCGACGCCAAGGTCAAGTTCCTCGCCGCAGAGGCCCTCCGTGGCTGCGGCGGTCTGCTCATCGACAACGAGGGCAACCGTTTCGCCGACGAGCTCGGCCACCGTGACTACGTCACCGGCCGCATGTGGGACAACAACAAGTTCCCCGTGCGCCTCATCCTCAACGAGCAGGCCTCCAAGGAGATCGAGTGGCACTGCAAGCACTACGCTGGTCGTGGCCTCATGAAGCGCTTCGACAGCGGTGACGACCTCGCAAAGGAGATGGGTATCCCCGCCGACAAGCTCAAGAGCACCTTCCAGGACTACGAGGCCATCGCAAAGGGCGAAAAGAAGTGCCCATGGGGCAAGAAGTTCTTCTCCAACTCGGACCTCCGCATGAACCAGGCCTTCTACGTCGCCCTCATGACCCCCGTGCTTCACTACACCATGGGTGGTCTCGAGATCGACCCCGAGTCGCGCGTCATCGACAGCCAGGGCAAGCCTATCCCCGGTCTCTTCGCCTGCGGTGAGATTGCCGGTGGTGTGCACGGTGCCAACCGTCTCGGCGGTTCGTCGCTGCTCGGCTGTGTCGTCTTCGGCCGTGTGGCCGGTGACTCGGCCTCGAGCTACCTGCTGCGCAACCTTGCCACGGGCAAGGCCACCGCTCGTCTCGGCCAGATTGCCAACCACCTCGAGACGCGCGTTCGCGCCGACCCCAACTCCAAGACCATCACGCTCGAGTTCGGCTTTGGCGACGGCGCCTCGTCGGCCTCGAGCGTGCAGCAGCAGAACTCTGCGCAGCCTGCCGCCGTGGCCCAGGGCCAGCCCGCCCAGACGGACAAGGCGGTGCAGCAGTCCGGCAGCGCCGCTGCTGCCCAGCAGACCATCGAGGAGAAGGAGTACACCATGGACGAGGTCGCGAAGCACACCACCGAGGACGACGTCTGGGTCGTCGTCGAGGGCCAGGTGCTCAACGTCTCGGGCTTCCTCGATGACCACCCAGGCGGAAAGAAGGCGCTCATGCTCTACGCCGGCCGCGACGCCACCGAGGAGTTCCTCATGCTCCACGACCGCAAGGTCATCCAGAAGTACGCGGCTGACACCGTCATCGGCCGTGTCAAGGCTTGATTTCTCCCTCTCATCGCTGTTTGATGTTCCGGCCGACGTGGCAATGTAAAATTTCATGCTGCCTTTCATACGAGAGCCGATTTTGTGTCGAGCGGTTTTCGCGAAGCCATCTTGAGTCGATGGGGCCGTGCAGTGACAGTCTGTCGTGCACGAGCGCATGAACGAGCATTGCGGAGACGGCCATCACCCATGCTTGACGGACATGACGGCGAACAGAAAGAACAAAGATTTGTCAAAGCATAACTTAGAATACAGATTGGCAGATGGTGGGCTGGCAAAGCAGTTCAGAGCGAGAATCCCATGTCGCGCTCCTTCTTGCGGTCCTTTTCGAGTTTCTGTTCGAGCTTGGCAAACTCGTCGAGAGCGATTTCCTCCTCTGGGTCGAGCACCTGTTCGACACCGTTGACCTCAGGGATGTAGTGCTTGAGCATTCGTTCGATGCCGGACTTGAGGGTGACCGTAGACGAGTCGCACCCACGGCAGGATCCCTTGAGCTTGACCTTTACGATTCCGTCCGTGTCTTCTCCGAATCCACGGTACTCGAGGTCACCTCCGTCCTCCTGAATCGCCGGCCGCACACGCGTGTCGAGAAGCTCCTTGATCATCGCCACGACCTCCGAGTCTGTCTCGAGGATCACGGTGTCGCTCGAGCCGTGCGACGACTCGGGGTCGGTGAAGAGCGGGTGACCGGCGGTGAAGAATTCCATGATGCTCGAGTAGATCTCGGGCTTGAGCGTCGACCACTGGTGCTCTGCATCCTTGCTGACTGTGACAAAGTCAGGACCGTAGAAGACGCCGACGATACCGGGGATGTTGAACAGCTTCTTGGCGAGTGGCGAGGCCATGGAAGCACGTGTGTCGAGGAACTCGTGCGTGCCCGACTCCATCACCTGTCGACCGGGCAGGAACTTGAGCGAGTCCTCGTTGGGTGTCGACTCGGTCTGGATGAACATCGTTCGCCTCTGCATCGAGAGAACGGGGGATGCACGTGTCAGCGCAGAAGCACGCAGTGCAGACGTTGACGCCGTCATCATGGATCGTGCGAGCGGAGCGACGCTTCTGCGGGCCACAGCAACAGCGACCCGGCTGCTAGATGCGGCAGCTGAGGTCGTAGAGGCTGCACGCAGCAGCGATACGCTTGTCCTTGTAACACCCGTCATCTTGCGAATGAGAGAGTGCTTGGGATAGTTTGGTGGTGTGCGCAGAAGAAGTGGAGTCAGTGGCGAGGCACTTCTTGTGTCCTACTCAGCAGCAGCGGCAGAATTCGAGCGTCGGACTTTACGCGGCTGAGTAAGCATTAGCAATATCAACAAAGAGAGAGCGGGGCAGCTCAGCGCGCCCGGGCAGTCGATTTTCACGGGTTTTCCGGCTGTAAGTCGACCCGATGGTGCCGAGCCAAGACGACGATGCATTGGACGTGGTGGTGACATGCGGATCCCCCGCTTAGGCCACCCCTCTTGCGCCGGCAAGAACTTCTCGCTCCTCTGGTCGTTGCAAGCTCTCCTTCCAATCGACCTTCCACCATCTCTATCGTCGAACACTCATTTCGGTCCTTTCGATTGCTTTTGATATCCCCAAGATGCTGGCTTCCACTGTCCGAACGGCCCTGCGCACGAGCACGCCGCGTGCGACTCTGCCCTCGACGCGCTCGCTTTCGACGTCGCTGCCGCGCCTGTCGGCCGCCGCGGCCAAGGAGTACCAGAACATCCTCGTGTCGTCGCCAGCCAAGGGTGTTACGCTCATCACGCTCAACCGACCCAAGGCGCTCAATGCACTCAACTCTGCACTCTTCCACGAGCTCAACGAGGCGACCGAGATTGCGGACAACGACCCGGAGGTGGGCGCGATCGTCCTCACCGGTTCCGAAAAGGCGTTTGCTGCCGGCGCCGACATCAAGGAGATGAAGGACAAGCAGTACGCTGATGCATACAAGACCAACTTCCTCGGTCACTGGACCAAGCTCACGACGGTGCGCAAGCCCATCGTTGCCGCGGTGTCCGGATTCGCGCTCGGCGGCGGCTGCGAGCTTGCCATGATGTAGGTAGACCCTTTTCCCCTTCCCTGATTCAACCGAAAGGGCTTCTGACGCGGGTGCATGTTCTTTTGATGCGCAATCCACAGGTGCGACATCATCCTCGCCTCGCCCACGGCCAACTTTGGCCAGCCCGAGATCAACCTCGGTGTGATCCCCGGAGCCGGCGGCACGCAGAGGCTGACCAAGGCGGTCGGCAAGTCGACGGCGATGGAGATGGTGCTGACGGGCCGCAACTTTTCCGCCGACGACGCCGAGAGGCGCGGCCTGATCTCGCGCGTGGTGCGCGAGGGCAGTGTGGTGGACGAGGCGGTCAAGGTGGCCTCGACCATTGCCAAGAAGGGCCAGATCGCCGTCCAGGCCGCCAAGGAGGGCGTCAATGCATGTAAGTCGCGACCCTCATTCGCAGAACCTGGCCGAAAAAGTGCCTATGGCTGACCGTCGTCCTCTTTCCTTGACCCGCCTATTGACGATGCTTTGCTCCGATGATGGTGTCCGTGATGCCAGCCTTCGAGCTTTCGCTGCAAGAAGGCACCCGCTTCGAGCGACGCCTCTTCCAGAGCCTCTTTGCCACCAAGGACCAGAAGGAAGGCATGGCTGCCTTTGCCGAGAAGCGCAAGGCCAGCTTCACGCACGAGTGAACGAAAATGCCCATCGATGCTTGCCAACCTTGTTGCGCTGCTGCTGGTTCGGCAATGCCTGCCCTGTAGCGTGAACAATCAGAGGCTTTGCTGCACAGACAATGCGCAGTTCTGTCCTGTGTTAGCACCTTTGTCGGGTCACGCGATCCGCTTTTGGGGCTGGATGATTTTTCGAGAAAGCTCCACATTTTTTTGGCGTGACTTTGCAGGGAGGTGTGGTGTGATGGACCCTAATCCTTAATTCTCTTGAGGTGCGCGGGGCGGGAGGCGAGTGTGACTCTGGCGCACCAACTCTGCATGCAGGGTTGCGGTGCGTGTGCCGTCGAGTTGTGCGCACGGTCTCGTGAGGAGTGGCTCACACGGGCCGAAAGTGCGCTGCTCTCTCGCCTTGCCAGCCTGCTTTGAGACCGGCTGGAATGGCGCAACCTTGGGTCGCTGAGTGAGACAAAGCTAGCTCTGAGGCTTGGGGTGGCCCATGCTCCCGAGTCCTAACCTCATGCTCCCAAACTGGCGGAACACTCTCTCCGCTGTCTGATGAAGCTAGCCCCACCGCCGAAGGCTATATAGCAGAGACTGGCTTCGCATCCAACCCCTCCCTGTCCGACACACCCATCGCCATAAACGGCCCTCCTTCTACTGTTGATTCTTACCCTCGCAACATCGCCAATCATGTCGACCAAGCCCCGATCCGACTCGTCCACCTCGACGTCGTCGACATCGTCGACCTCTTCGGACCCGTACGCCAATGCGTCGGTGTTCCGCAACTCGCCGTCCTACAAGGCCGAGCAGCTGGACGATCTCTCGCACGGATCCACCTTCAAGGCTCGTCGCTGGTCCGGCGCCAAGAAGAACCCGGGCGAGGGAAGGTCGCACTTTGAAATGCGCATCAACGCCAGCGACCAGACCAAGCTCAACAGAGACGAGCTCAAGGTCAGCGTCAAGAAGAACAAGGACCTCCCCACGCGCATGAAGAAGAACCACTCGCCACAACAGGCCGCTAAGGTCTACGACGCCATCAACCGCGAGTAGATTCAACCAAACAACTCCGAATCGTTAAGACCGCAAAGCCACAAAGTCAAGTCCCTGCCTCGCACTCGCGTGTTCCAAGCTCCAGTCCGCATTCCCGCATTCACTGTATTCCTTCCCGCCCTGTACCTTCTTCGCAGCAACTCAGCCTCGTAATCAGTCGTCAACAAGAGCGCCCCGCTGGCAGAGTATCGAGCTGGATTCGAGTGAAGAATTGAGATTCCGCTGGGATGGTGAGAAGGCTAGTCCAGCTCGGCGTAGAAGCCGCTCGCGTTGAGTCGGCACAAAAGCACCTCGACGCTCGAGGCGCCATCGCCGTCGATACCTTGCGTGCTTCTGCCCGCTGCATCCACGTCGAGCCGCCTCAGGTCCTCGAGCTCGTCGAATGCCAGACGCGCCTTTTCGCTTTCGACGTCCTGCCGTCTCTTGCCCAGATCCCGTCCACTCGCCGCTTCCTCCGCATGAGATTCGGGGTGCAAGTTGGACGGCCGACGGTCCTTGAGCATCGCCAGCGCATGCACCAACGTGTCGATGCGCTTGCGGAAGTACACGTGCAGCCGGTGAAAGTCGTCGTACGTCGGCGTTTCGACCGAAGGCGACGCGGGCGTGTGAAAGTCGACGCACAGCTGCGCAAAGTCGAGCACCGTCTGCAGCAGGTCGTGCACCACACGCAGCACGCCGCGCTGCTTGGACTTCAGGAAGCACGTCGACAGCATGCGGTCAAGCACACGCTCGTGGTATCGCGCCAGCGAGAAAACGTCCTTGAGCTCCAGACTCGATGTCATCAGCGCTGCTTTTTCCTCCTCCTCCAGCGCCTCTTCGTCCAGATCCTCGTCGCTCTCGCCCTGTCCGTCGCCGGCCCTCGCCGCAGACGTGCGACGAGATGCGAGTTCGTCCGACACCTCGACGCGCACTCTGTCGAGCCGCTGCATGAAGCTGTTCCAGTGCAGCTCGATGCCGATCTCGTTGACGAACGAGCCATACGTGTCGAGGAAATGGTTGAGCTCCCATCGGAATTGCTGCATCAGCGAGCGTGTTCGGAAGTCAAACGTGAACGCTGCACTGGTCGACTTGAAGGTGCACTGCCATGCTGTGCGCATGGCCACCTTGCACCTCTTGATGCGAAGCAGCAGGTTCCACAGACGTTGGTACCGAGACTGGGCCAGCTGCGTCAGCAGTGGCGAGATGAGCGGTGGCGGATGGAAGGACAACGTGAGCCAATCGAGCGCATCGATCGAGCTTGGATCCGACCACGTTGGCGCATTCTTGCCCGACTTCTGGCTGCCGCTTGAGGAGGCAGCGGATCGCGGCTCGACCACGGCGAATGATAGCCGCTCGTCGAGATCCTTGAACGCGAGCGAGACAGCGTCCTCCGTTCCGGTGTGACGGTGCGACCTGGCCATCCGATCTTGGTGCGCCTGACGCATGCTCGACACCGTCTCAATGACGGCCGTGTTGAGCGCCGACGACAGCAGGCTGTCGTTCGGGGGCCAGACGCCTTCAGCAGTCAAGCGTCTGTTCATCGCAACGACTGCACGGCCGCGAGCTGACTTGGCGCCGGCCTCGTCCAACACGCTGACCTGATCGACATCGAACAGGCTCGAGATCACCTGCCGCTCGAAGAGCGCATTGCCGAGCAGGAGGAATTGCTTGCACGTCTCGAGGTACGTGCCGAGCCCGAGATCCTGAAAGAAGACGCTGATTAGAGACATGTTGATCAGCCGCGCCCAGCTCTCGAACGGCGCCACCAGACATGCCTGTGTCGCTCGATCGAATGACACATGCGAGATGGACTGGCTCCGAGACGAAGGACAGGCAGCCTCGGCGAGGTAGAGAAGCAGGCGGCCTTGCTCGTCGACTTCGTCTTCATCCGCCTCGTTGTCTTGCTGCTGCTCCTCTGCGTCAAGCGAGGATTTTGCTGCAGCGGTTGCGTCTAGGACGCCGGGGAGAGCGGAAAAGAGCTGCGACATGCGTGCAAAGTAGTCTTCGCTCCAAGAGACATCCCTCGCGTCTTGAGGAGCCATACCTCCGTGCACAATCTCGGCAGCACCCTCAGGATGCAGTTGAGGCAAGCGTACGTCCAATGCAAAAGGGGATGCTGCCGCCGATGCGGAAGCCGTGCTTGCTGCTGCACGTTTCTGGCGACGCCAACGAGCGATTTCGCGCTTGAAATGAGTGATGCGCTCCTCGACAGCCTCGAGCTGCCTTGGACTTTCGGATGGTGACCAGTGCCACGTCGGCAAGGACAGCGGCGTTTTGGGTGCGTCAGCATCCGCCCTGATGGACCATTGCGACACGAGCGGGTGGTCGGTTGGTGCGGCCTTCTTTAGAAGCCTGAGTGCGCGACCTGCCTCCAGAAAAGTCCTAGCGCGGCGAAAGGGGAGGAAGCTAGGGACTGCCGATGGTTTGAGGGTGTATCCGATGTCTTCCTCGCCTCTCTCGTCGAGCGACCAATCGACGA